CCCCTAAACCCTAAAGGGCCCTAACCCCTAAACCCTAGAGGGCCCTAACCCCTAAACCCGAATCCTAAACCCTAAACCCTAAACCCTAAACCCGAATCCTAAGCCCTAAACCCTAAACCCGATTCCTAAACCCTAAAAGCATCAGGGCTTGGAAGGTTTCTCAGTAGTATTATGATTCATGGTGTTATTGTTGTTATTTCTACTGTAATTTCTATTATTGCTAGTAATATTGTTACAGCTATTGCTGTTGGAGTTGCTGTTGTACTGTAAAAGGTCTCAGAGAGTCCAGATTCCCTGAAATCTGCTCGCTCGGGGCTATGGCTAGCTTTTTTGGCGGGCAGTTCCGGGAGTTTAGGGGTTTTGGCTCTCGGAGGTTAGTGTAGGAAGTGTAATTGCTTTTGCCCCTCTGCAGACAGGGACCTCCAAACCCTGAACGTTATACCCTAAACATCCCGAAACCCTGAACCCTAAATCTCTCAAGCCTCAACTCCGAATCCCTAAACCCTATCCCTTGAAACCCTAGAGCCCCTGAACCCCCCCTCACGTTGCCAGAACGCAACATGCGGAGCCACAGAGCCCCATACCCCTGAATTAAGGAATATAGCTTAAATCGTAATATGAATCCCCTCATACTTCAAGGTACATTCCCTAATTAAGGGATATTTGGAGCCCCCTGAACCCTAAACCCTATAGATCCCTCTAAGGATCCCTTTAAGGATCCCTTTAAGGATCCCTTGTGGAGCCCTTAGAGACTGGGGAGCCAGGTTCCCTGCAGCGCATTCACAGCACCTCAGCGCAGCTGAGGGAGCTCGGGCCTTCGGCAACGACGGTTTAGGGTTTAAGGGGCTTTGAGGGTTTGGGGCTCTAGAGGTTTAGGGGTTGACTTTAGGGCATAGGGCTTTAGGGTTTAAGGTTCAGGTTTAGGGTTTGCGGGTTCTACGGTGGATGATATAAATCCTGCATTACCTTCAGGACCCTAGGCATGTTCCCTGTTACGGGTAATGCAGGATTTACGTCATCAACCGTAGTGAGGGCCAAGCCATTTACAGGTGGGTAGTTATTAGGTGGGTAGTTTCCCATAAGCCTCCCATACCACTCCTATAAGGTAAAGGGGGTCTTATGGGAGTACTACGGTTGATGATATAAATCCTGCATTACCCATAATACGGAATATACCATAACTCCCATAGTCTAGGGTCCTTAAGGTAATGCAGGATTTATATCATCAACCGTATGGAAGAAGAACTACCCACCTGTAAGGGGCTTCTATTTGGAGGCTTTGGGCTTCATTGGGGTTTTGGGGCTGGGGGCTTAGTGCACCTGGAGGATCATGGGACTTAGTAAGTAAGGTTTAGGGTCCCTTGTAGTAAGGGTACTATAGGGTTCTACAATGGGGTTCGTTAAAGGGTTCTATAATGGGGATCATGGGACTTAGTAAGTAAGGTTATAAGTACCTTAATTGGGGTTACAAGTACTTCTCAGTATAGTTACCCTAATAATAACCATAGTTACTAAGTCCCATGATCCATTAAGTAACCCTAAGACCCCTCTTATGGAACCCTTGTAGATCCCTTTTAAGGAGCCCTTTAAAGAACCCTATAGTTACTAAGTCCCATGATCCTTTAAGTAGCTCTAATAGTAACCTTAGTAAACCCTTAACCCTATAGATCCCTTTAAGGAACCCCTGTAGATCCCTTTTTAGGAACCCTTTAAAGAACCCTACAGTTACTAAGTCCCATGATCCTTTAAGCATGGTTCAGGGTTTCAGGGTTTCGGGCCAAGGCTTCGAATTTAGGGAACCAACTTGGGTTTTAGGGTTACGGGTGTTTAGGGTTTAGGGTTTAGGGTTTAGGGTTTAGGGTTTAGGGTTTAGGGCCTTAACCTACCTAGACCTACAAAACAGTAGGGTTCCTATAGATTCCATATTAGGGTTTAGAATAAGAGCCAAAAAGCTAGGGTTGGTAGGTAAAGGTACAGGGGCATGTCAAAGTTTCAGCAGGTTGAGGGGTGCAGGTGCAGAGGTCAGGGTCAACGCTTGTAGCAGGGCGTTGTGGGGCCGGGGCCAACCCTAAACCCTTAATCTCTAAACACCAAGCCCTATAAACCCTGAACCCTATAAACCCAAAGCCCTATAAATCCTAAACCTTAAACCCTAGACCATAGAAGCCCCATAGATCCTATAAACCCTCAACCCGATGAGCCCTATAAGCCCTATAAGCTCTATAAACCCTATAAGCCCTAAGCCCCAAACTCTCAAGGCGGCTGTGGCGTTTCGGGTTTGGGGTTGGCGGGCACGAGGTGCCGGCGGAGTGTGGAATGCAAGGACCATTGCTGGCCTGCTGATTCCCCATAAAACACTCTCTGTGCTTATATAGTAGGGAATGGGGGTTTGGATCCCTCTAGTAGTCCCATATCCATTCCTCCATTCCCTGCCAGGGAGTGGTACTGGGTCCCAAACATAGCACCCTTGCCAAAAGGATCCCCAAAGGGATCCCAATTTACAGAACTACCCAAATCCTAAACCCTACCACACGCGCCCTATCCAGGGTTCTTGTGAAGGGATTGAATCTAAGTTGCCATAGTAAAGAAACCATATTATTTACCATAGATCCCCATTGTAGTAACTTTAAACGCCTTAACAAGAACCCAGTATATCGTACTTGGAGGATCATGGGACTTAGTAAGTAAGGTTATAAGTACCTTAATTGCGGTTATAAGTAGTTGTAAGTAAGGAGGGCGATGCTCCGAAGAAATCCCAAACCCTACGACCTACCCTCGTAGAATTCGCATGCCCCGCAGAACCCATCTGGCCTGAGCCTGCCATCCTGACGTTACTGTTTACTGCAAACCCCATAAAGTTGGAAACCGGATTGAGGCCAAGTAGTGCTGGGATTCCCTATGCATTACTCTTAAGGATTGAGGCTATTGGGTTTCCATCTTTTAGGCTTCTACTGTAGGGGTTTGAGGGTTCAGGGGCTGCTGTATTCTGTCTGCTTTCATAGCTAGACCCGCATATCTAAAGGTCTGAGTAATCGGTAGGTATTCCCCTTACAGACTATATAATCGAATAACATGCCCCGAAAACCCGAAACTCCATCTTGCTACGCGTAAAGCCCCATTCGGTGCAAACCCCAAGCTTTCTGGAGGGCGTAGGGTTCGGGGTTTGGGGGGGCTAGGGTTTGGGCTTTGGGGTTTGGGATCTACCTTAACCCACCAAAACCTACTTTTTTGTAGGGTCCCTATAAATTCCATATTAGGGTTTACAATAAGAACCTACGAAAAAGGTAGGGTTTGGGGTTCAGGGTTTAAGCCCTCGTCACAAGTCGGCCTGTGTCCGGAGCAGGGATTCTGGTTCGAGCCTCCCTCCCTAGTTTTGCCTGCAACAGCCGTGGAAGTCGGGAAACCCAGGTGGGTTAGGGTTTTGGGTTTAGGGTTTGGCTTAGGGTTTAGGGTTTAGGGTTTTAGGGCATGGGGCGTGGCCCCTGCTTCAGTAGTAGTAGTAGTAGTAGTAGTAGTAGTAGTAGTAGTAGTAGTAGTAGTAGTAGGCTTTGGGTTTAAGGTTTGGCTGGGCGTGGCGGGTCTTGTCGGAGCTTCAGGACTGAGGGTCTATGTATCTATATATGTTTGTATAGGCCTTTCTCTCAAGCTGCCAACGTGCCTCTTGAGATTCGTATGCATCACCAGGATCAGGATCAGAACCCACTCTACGCAGTTTGCGGGGGTCCGCGGTTTAGGATGTTAAAGTTAACCTAGACCAGGCTGTGGAAAAACGGAACCTGATACCCTAAATTGAATGAGCCCTAAACCCTAATCTTGTTAAGCTCCTCCTAGTACAGGAGTTCTAGCTGACCTGCAAGTGGAAGAGAGCCCTTTAAAAAAACACACACACTTTTCAACCCTGAGCCCTAAACTGTGGCTATGGCTTCGAGGTTTATTGAAGGGAATGAGGGCATCCTCGATTCTGATTTAACCTGCAGGCCCTGGAAGCTCACTCCTCAGCGGCCCACGAGATGAAATTTATCAATTCTGGTTTAGGCTTTAGGGGTTCAGGGTTTTAGTGCGGCTTAAGGGTTTATAGGGGGGGGGGGCAGAACTTGTTCGTAGCAAGCTAGGTACTGGTATTTTCCCGAGTGACACCTCAAACCGAAAGAGTCCAGCTATGCTGAATCACCCCTGTTGTGACAGACCCGGAGTATGGAAATACTGGTGCAGAGGCGCGTGGATTAGAGTTTGGGGTAATATGTGTATATATATATATGTATGTATAGATGCCTGAAGGGTTGGTACTGCTATTCCCTTGGATTCGTGAACACATGTACAGCTACAAAAGCTTCCGAAACCCGGGTCTAAGTATTCAGTCCTCTATGCATTGCTAGCTTCTCGGAAGCCCTAGACGACAACAGGGCTCGTGTCTCAATTCCACTCTCCTTGGGTCGAAGCGCCCCAGTTGGATTCCATAAGGTTCGGGGAGATGATCCAGAGGCACCATATATGACCATCCTTATCATGATTTTGGGTTTAGGGTTTAGGGTTTGGGGGACCTAGTTCTGGAATACTACGGTTGATGATATAAACCCTGCATTACTCATGATAAGGAATATACCATTATTCCCATAGTTTAAGGTCCTTAAGGTAATGCTGGATGTATATCATCAACCGTAGTATACATGGAGCCTCTTCGTAATTTTAGGGTTTGGGCGAACACCAAGCGCGGCTCCGACCGTATGCCCAAAACCTGAACTGCAGGTTTAAGGGGTCCTTAGAGGTCCTTTAAGGGTTCCTCTAACGGAGCCCTACTGTGAGGATCATGGGGCTCAGTAGGTACGGTTATAAGTACTGTAATCGGGGTTTTGAGTAATCATAAGTATAGTTACCCGAATAATAGCCTTAGTTACTACGTCCCATGATCCTTTAAGTAAAGGCGCCCTTCAAAAGGAACCCTTAGAGTACCCTTGAGGGTTCCTTTAGTGTTGTTCTTCAGAAGCTGGCGATGTAAGGCCATGGTTCGCAACACGGCGGTACCCGCGACACAGGAGAGCGCCGAGGGGTCGCCGATCCCTCAGCGAGGTGTTGCAGTTGCTCCACTCCCGGGTGTCTGTCTGTATAGGTTTGGGGGTCAAGATGTATGATCAGACCCTACCGGTTGATGATATAAATCCTGCATTACCTTAAGGACCCTAAACTATGGGAATACTGGTATATTCCTTATTGTGGGTAATGCAGGATTCATATCATCAACCGTACGAACCCCCCTTAAACCCCCTAAACCACTTGAACCCCCTAAACCCCCTAAACCCCCTAAACCCCCTAAACCCCCTAAACCCCCTAAACCCCCTAAACCCCCTAAACCCGAAACCCCCTAAACCCCCTAAGCCCCCTAAACCCCCTGAACCCCCTGAACCCCCTTAAACCCCCTTAAACCCCCCTTAAACCCTAGTTTATAAGACGAGCCTGCTTTACAGATCCTTTCAGAACCCCCGGCCTTGGGAAGGCTCGGAGATAAACGCGAGGCTTCAGGGAATCCGAGGCATGACTCCATGCTGTAGAGGGTTTTTTTGGTTTAAGGGTTCAGGGCTAAGGGTTTTGGGCTATAGGAGATGTAGGGTTGCGGGTTTAGGTGATCTAGGGCTTGGGGTTGAGGGTTTAGGATTTAGGTCATTTAGGGTTTAGGGTTCGGAGCGGGATAAACCCTAAATCCCAAACACTAACATTGGTGCGACACATTAAAAGCAGAAGAACTTGTTGTGAAGCCTTCAGTCTGTGTTGCGGTGTGTAACAAGTCTCTTGGGTTGAGATACTCTCGACCCCCCATCCATACACGCCTCTCCCAAGAGAAGCAACAAAAACCCTCCGAGAAGGGTCCTTGAGGAATGGGTTATGCAATTCCAGACCACTCTCTAGATCTAACGGATCTGTGACCACGGGTTCTCTTGGTCCTGGTAGTTGCTATACCAAGATCGTTCTTGGAGAAGTCTAGCTCCTGAGCCTGCAGCCGCAAAATCCCAAAGCCTAAGCCCATATCGCAACCCTGACCTCTGGATAAAATCCACAACAATGTTGAGCCCCCCCAAAGAAGCCTTATAAACCATTGCAGGACAAGTTTCAGAACGCAACAGTGGGCGGGCCTTGATGCGAGATTCCTAAGCCCGAAACCCTAAACCCACTAAACCCTAAAGGGAACTCCAGAAAGTTGGAATATGGTTTCAGGGTAGGATACCTTATAATTTACCATACAGGGTTTAGGATAATCATATTCCAACTTTCTGGCTTTTACTTTAAACCCTAAATGAGAATCCTGGCATCCTCCACCCAGGAATCGCTTGCCTGGCGGTGGTCCCACTGGCAAGGTCGGTTTCGGGTTTCCTGTTCTTTGAACTTACGGGTACTTCGAAATAGTTCTTACTCTTTGGTCATAATAAGCCCTAAGGAACAGCTAGAATTGAAGCTTTTGCTAGGGGTCTAAGTTCAGTATAGTGAATCTGTTTATACTGCTTTGAAACCGTTCTATATGGGTTTATCTCTGGTTGCAGGATGATACGTTGAGGGTTTAGGGCATGGGGAGCTTGAGGAGGCCCAGGATTCACCAACCTACCTTTCCCTGCAGCCCCAAAGCCCTCGAAGCGGAGACAGAAATTCGATTGACTCCCCGCGTCGATGCCCCCGGCTGTCACAGGCACCCCTTGTCCGTGCCCTGCGTGCGAAGCAGCCGGACGTTCGCAAGGCTTCTCGTTGTTGTGTTGTAGGGTTAGGGGTTTAGAGTTTGGGTTCGCAAGTCTGCTCTCTCATTGACTAAATAGTACTCGGTTGTACTGGGGCTTCGGGTTACTATGTCCGCCGCGATTTCCTGCTTGAGTGGATGTTGCAGGGTTTGCAAGGTGTCGAAATTTGAGGTTGCAGTAGCCTAAGCCTCGATCTGTAACTCTCCTCGCAAACTCTCTAAATGCCGGCTTGCGATCCACCAGCCCCGGACGTTTCTAGACGCTGAAGACCACCACCCTACATAGAGCCTGAACCTTCGACAGAACACCCTGGACCCCAGGACCCTCCAAATGGAGAAGCCTGCGTAACTACAAACATTGTTCGTCAAGCTTCCTCAGTATCTTTGTACTGTACTAGACTATACAAGGCAAAGAAGTCTAATCATGAAGGCTCCATGACTAGACCCAATACCAAATTGTCAAGGAATTATCAGGCCTGAGCCACGCAAGCAGCAGGTTGCAGGCGCCTGGCTCGATCGTTTTGCTTCGGACCGCCACGCTGCCGTAGCGGAGCTCTTGCAGCTGATCTTGGCTTCTGGGCCCTTCGGGGGTTTAGGGTTTAGGGAGTTTAGGGTTTAGGGTTCAGGGTTCAGTTGAAGCGGGGTTTTGTTAAAACATGAACCCTGAAACCTAAATCCTAAGCCCTAGAAGCCCCCGGACCAGAGATATCTTTTCCGGGGTTCTTATAACAAGGATCGCAATACTTGGGGCTTGCCACCGAGTCCTCAGGCAAAAGCTTTCGGCTTAAAGAGGAGAGACGTCGTCAGAGAAGTGAGATGCTGAATGGAAGTGCAAAGCGTTTTCGTCGTGATGTAGGGTTTTCGGGGTTTAGGAGCTTTCGGGTGGAGAGTTTGGTGTAGCCTCTGCTAGATGTTTGGATGACGAACCCTAAACCCTAAACCCTAAACCCTAAGACGAAGGTGTCACTGGTTCCACCACTGCTGCTGTCGTCACACCCATGCCCTAAGGTGACCTCTGTCGGCCCCAAGTCCCATTGAAAAGGGGTTTAAAAAGGGGGGGTCCCTTAAGGGATCTATAGGGTTTAGGGTTTAGGGATTGGGGTTTAGGGGTTTAGGGTTCAGGGATTAGGGTTCAGGGATTAGAGTTTAGGGTTTTGGGGTTTAGGGGTTTAGGGTTCAGGGATGAGAGTTTAGGGTTTTGGGGTTTAGGGTTTAGGGTTCAGGGATTAGGGTTTAGGGGTTTAGAGTTTAGGGTTTTGGGGTTTAGGGGTTTAGGGTTCAGGGATTAGAGTTTAGGGTTTTGGGGTTTAGGGGTTTAGGGTTCAGGGATTAGAGTTTAGGGTTTTGGGGTTTAGGGGTTTAGGGTTCAGGGATTAGAGTTTAGGGTTTTGGGGTTTAGGGGTTTAGGGTTCAGGGATTAGAGTTTAGGGTTTTGGGGTTTAGGGGTTTAGGGTTCAGGGATTAGAGTTTAGGGTTTTGGGGTTTAGGGGTTTAGGGTTCAGGGATTAGAGTTTAGGGTTTTGGGGTTTAGGGGTTTAGGGTTCAGGGATTAGAGTTTAGGGTTTTGGGGTTTAGGGGTTTAGGGTTCAGGGATTAGAGTTTAGGGTTTTGGGGTTTAGGGGTTTAGGGTTCAGGGATTAGAGTTTAGGGTTTTGGGGTTTAGGGGTTTAGGGTTCAGGGATTAGAGTTTAGGGTTTTGGGGTTTAGGGGTTTAGGGTTCAGGGATTAGAGTTTAGGGGGTTAGAGTTTTAGGGTTTGCAGGGGTTTAGGGTTTTAGGGTTTAGGGGTTGAGGGATCTGGGGCCGTCTTCAACTCTAAGTTTAACTGCGAAGGCTTCATCCCAAAAACGTTCATACAAATCTTCAGCGCTAACCCATGAACTCTAAAATTTGCACCCCAAGCCCCAAAACCCTAAACCTAGGTTGTTGCCGACCTACCCTCGCAGACCACCATCGTGAAGGAGGATCTGCAGGAGCAAATCCTCGGCTTGAAGCGGGAGATCTTCCCAATATCCAGTAGTTAAGGAATATTCCTTAAATCACATTAGGGACCTCCACGGCGGTGGGCAGCGCGAGCACATGTCCAACACACATTTGAAAAAATCCTAAACCCTGAAGCCCTAAACCGTGAGGGTCAGAGCGAAGCCCAAGCCGATGCTATCGCTGCTCGCATCAACGAAACCGGGGCTACAGATCTCCTCAAAGGCTATCTCGCCAACAAGGAGATTGCTACGGCCATCCAAAATGCGGCGCAAGCGGCGAGCGAGGGGGACCAAGTGTCCCGGGATTACCGGGCTTGGTTGACCACACTGACCGATCAACAGGTGAAAGACCTGTTGGTATGGTGCAGTATGGAACAACTAGGATCTGAATCGGTAGCAATGTCGATGAAGACCAGCGTCCGGTCCATAGCGCCATGGCTAACAAGCCAATCGAAGCTAGGCTTGCGGCGCGCCCTTGCTAAGCTTCCTGAGTGGCAAGATCTCACCAAAGGCAAGAGCATGACTGAGAACATGACGGCCGCTAAGCCCCTAAACCCTAAGCCGGTGCTCTGGAGGCTACCATATAGTCCCTCGAACCGCGAGTCTTTAAACACGGGACTCAGAAGCAGAGGTCCAGGCAACTTCGCCGAATGCTTTAGCGTTTAATGCTTCTACGTCCCAGGAGTCTAAACCCCTTAATATAGGGGCCTAAATAATTGCCAAGACTTTTTTGAGGGTTCCTTAGTATACGCATACTTTGCGCCCAAAAGCTACTCTAATGATTAAGGCCGCTATATGACTTCTAAACCCAAAACCCTCAGCCCTAACTCCTAAATTCCAACCGTTCAACTTATAGGCGCTTTAATATTATGGTTTAAGGTATATTCCTTAATGAAGGGATGTTGGGATCTCTGGGTTTCTTGTTGTGCTCTGCACAGCACTCAGACATCGCCCCCTTCACGAAACCGCTCAGAACCCTTCTTCTGATTCCTATAAACATTTCTGCCAAGAGGCAAAGCTTCAAAGCAGGCAAAAACCACCGAGGTATCGAATTTCCCCCCAAAACTCTACAGTCCCTTAAATCCTTGAAATTGCAAGTGCCGACAGTTGTTAGAACTAAGGCCCCTGATATAGAACCCTATTATTATAGATCCCTTGTAGGCCCCTTTAAGGATCCCAAAGAGAACCCTGCAGGATCGCGAGCCTAGCGAAGTAGTCACGGAGCTCACAGCCAGCCTGGCGCTGGAGGCGTCCGAGCGAGGCACGGGACATGTCAGTAGGGCGGGTTTAAGAGTAGATTAGGGTTAAGGGTTCAGTGTTTAGGGTTTAGCATTTGTGGGGTTTAGGGGTGTAGGGGTAGAGGGTTGAGGGGTATACGGTTTAGGGTAAAAGGGCTTGTCTGAGGTTTCTGCTAGGGTTTCACTTTTCTAAGGCAGTGCTGGAAATCTCTAAGATACGCCGTCCCATGCCAACCAAACCAATCCCAAAATACTTCTAAACGCTAGACCCGAAACCCAGAAAGACCTAAACCCTACACTCTTAAGCAAAACAAGACCCGAAACCCGGAAAGATCCAGCGAATTGCACTGCCAGGGGCAGACTACACGCAGCACTGGCTCGTGTCGCGCGAGAAGGGTGCTCAGAGGCCGGGGGAGCACGGAGGATCTGTTCATCTGGGTTCCTCTTCGAGACCCCTACGGTTTTTTAGGATTTTTGGGCTGTGCATAGTCTGCGCCGGACCCTCGTGGGACCGATTTGCGAGTGAGTGAGTTTAGGGGTTAGGGTTTAGGATTTAGTTTCTTCTTTTTTTTAGCAGATTTGGGACATGCAGTACGAATATGATTTCCTTGCAACGGTGACTCACACGGTTTAAGTTCTTTGATCAAGGTGCTCTTCAGAGTTTTGTTGACATTTTGGCCGCAGGTTAAGCTTTGATTCTGGGCCGTAACGTTGGGAAATGGTCGTCGTCGTCAGAAGAGGCCGGGAACGGTCGTCATTGACCAGAGGGGTCTTCGACACGCATCAGAAATCACAGGTCCACTAGGTTAGCCTTTTGCCCTTTTTTCTTTTAGGGTCCCCTTACTAAAAACCGAATAGTAGGAAAAAGGCTACCCTAAATATAGAAGGGGCTACTCAGGAACCTGGTCTAGTGCGGAGCATCAGAGGCATCAAGCCTCCAGCTGCGAAGTCGACGATAGCTAGCGACGGGTGGTCAGCGGCGCCGCAACCCCATGCTCATCCACGACCTAAGTCTAAGCTTTCAATCCTACCTATGCTCTGCATCGTAGTTCCTTTTCGGTTCACCAAATGTATTTTACAGGATCTCAAACTCCTAAGTACAAAATTGGTAATCCCTAAACCCCAACAAGGGGAACTAAAATGGAGCCATACGGTTGATGCTCGAACCAAGCGGCCGCCAAAGTAGCCGCAAAACGGCGCCTTCAACCAACCGTACATGTTCACGACAACGACCCGTAGTTAGGGGGGAAAGGGGGAGGGGCGTATAGGGGGCCTTAATCGCCCTAACACTCCGCTAAGGGGCCCTATGACATGTCATCTTCGGCTGAGGACGGTAGGGTTCGGCGGTAGCGAAATGCGGCAATAGCGGTGCAGGGCGGGCTTAGGGTTGCGTCTAAAAATCAGTTTTTTCAGGGTTTAGGTGTCACCTGGGTTCTGGTTATGAGTGCCATTTGCAGGCAGTCTGTCCCCGCCATTGAGCTTTACGTAGACCCTCCACGCCAGGGTCCGCGAAAACTATCCGGCCATCTGGCGCGAGCTTGTCCTGGCACCTCCCGTCGACGTCCTTGTGAGGAACTTGTTACAAGTGCTGCGAGCGGGGTGCTCGGTGGGGGCTTGTTGGCACCGCTATGGGTTCAGTGGAATATAGAAGCCCAGATAGTTAGTTGTACTACTTCTCAGGGTTCCTGATCAATTATCAGTTTATACACTACGAAAGACGGAACTTCGAGAAGTTCGTATCAGGGCCAGGACTAATTGGAGAACAGAGTTTTTCGATTGGGTGTCGTATTGTTTTTGCAGGCTTCGTAGGGGCCGCATTTGTTAGAAGAATGGACAGTGTTTTGTGGGGGAGGTTTTAAGGCTCTATGCAGAGAGGGCCGTAGTGATTGGAATATAGTTTTGAGTACATATGGTACTACAAGATGTAGGGCTTCAGGACCTGTCTCTGCCGAGCCGTGTAGCTTGCCTTCTGCTCAAGATATGTTGGCTCGAATTTTGGCTTGGCGGTACTGAGCAGGTTCAGCAGCATCTAGAGTCCGCAAGCTCTAGACTAGACTTTGAGAGTTGGGACTTCGGACCGATCGTTCGCCGGCTTTTTCACCAAGACTGCCCCAAACACCCAGTCACCACTCACACACGGTTGCGACTTGACGAAACAAAAAGGCCATGCAATATCAAATGGAAGACACATCAAAGCAGCATATATATATATATATATGTGTGTATACATATATAAAAGCATATACATATATGCACGCCTGCATACGGTTGTTATCTCTCTGTCTCGCTGCCTCAAACATTGCCCAAATCTACCCTGAAGCGGAGATCAGATATCAAGACCATGTAGCACGGAGGTATTGCAAAGAACAGCGTGCATGCAACGCTAGCTAAGATCCCAAACAAAAAGGGCAAGAGTATTTCTAGTCTGGTTCTGCTGGTGCAAGCCAGATATGGTTGTGTCAAGGTCTCCTGGCTTCTTCGCTCGCACGCACGTGTCCATTGTTTGTGCCACGTCATTTTTTGCAGTAGGAGTGGCTCTGTGCATGTTTGCATCGGGAAAAGATTGTGTTGTCAGATGAGATGTCCGGTGCAAGCTGCCGAGCTCTTGGAGCACGCTTCGTTGTTACATTGAATGCTTGCTTGTGTGGAGTTCGAGTGTTCTGTTGCATTGTTCTATGAAATTTTAGAAATCCCAAGCAAAAACACCGAAATTCTTAAACAATCCCAAAACTCTTCAAAAAGCCCTAAACTCTTAAAACATCCCTAAGCTTTTAAAAAGTTCCTAAACTCTTACGCCCAAAACGGTCTGCAACATGTTTGAGGGCGTTGCCCCCTCCCCGCAGCCGACTGGAAGCTCAACCTAACTTCTGGCAGCGTAAAGCCGGTACGAGTTTAGGGTGTAGAGGTTCTTACCTTTGGTTCGTACTATAATATAGGGGCCTTAATAATCCTATAATCTTACCGGGAATGGAAGAATGGTGGTAATAGTAGTTATACTTGTACCCCATTCCTCCATTCCCTACTAACCAAACGTAAGTTTAGAGGCTTCGGGCTTAGCTGCTTAGCTTTCGGAGCTTGAGGGTTGCGGATATACTGTTGAGGGTTTCTCTCTGAAGCAAAGAAGTCCATGATGCCCAACCCTAAAAAAACCCTAAGCCCTAAGCCTTAAACTCTAAACCCAGGCCTGGACACAGGCGTTTTCTGAATGCCCGCAGCTCAGCGAGGGCCTGGAGGGCAGTCGAAGTTTCAGTCCCTTTATTCTTATGAAAGTAGTTTAGGTTTAGGGTTGGGGTTAAGGGTTAAGGGTTTAGGGTTAAGGGCTTAGGGTTTAGGGTTTAGGGTTGAGGGTTTAGGGTTTGGATAGGTTTGGCGTTTAGGCCAATTGTTGCTACTTATGTCAGCCAGAGGTCATGGGTTTGCATCCAGTACTGGCTTTACTAATGTGGGGTAACTTAGAAGGGGCCCCCACCCTGTAATAGTGACTATAAGGATAATATAGGATTATATTAGGGCCCTATTATATTCCTATGATACCACTATTACAGGGTGGGGGCGGCTTCTATAGGAACTTGAATGAGCTAGGATGCCCAGTAGTACCCTTATTCCCTTTTTGTAGTCCTCGGTTCCTTATAAAGTTACCCAATGCCAAAAAGAGAGGCCTTTTCATTCTTAGGTTACTGGGTATCCTAGGAAAGCAGTTAATGTAGGAACTTGAATGAGAAAACCTTGGATCGTCATTAGGGTTCTTTACATGGATCCTAATATTTGGCAGCATAGGACCAGTGTTTCTCAATCAGGTTCCTACATCAGGCCAATCATTACGGCATCATCTTTTATGTGTTGACGTTCTGTATCTAAACCCTAGACCCTGAATTGAGTTTGCGATTTGCCTTGGTTCGGCGCCTTCGGTGCCGTGCTGGTGTTTGTCCCAGAGAGGACTGTCTTGCATTTTGGCTCCGAACGAGATGTAAGATCGTAGAGTCGTAGAGTATAGAGACGATGCGCCAAGTCCCGAAGAAGTAACGGCAGCAAATCGGGAAGTCTCATTTTTCAATTTCCGACACCCCGAATCTTCAAACACGTACCTTTTCAAGCCTACACTTTCCCGAAACCCTAAACCACTAAACCCCCCAACCCTACACCCCTAAACCCCTAAACCCTAAACCATACACCCCTAAAGCCCCCAACCCCAAGCCCTAAACCCTATAAGCCCCAGAGCAGCCCTCAGACCCAAGCGCACAGGTCAGTTTCGAAGCATCCGGCACGCCTCGGTGGTCGCTGGTCTGGCACTGGTGGAGGGCGTCAGCGAGCAGTGCCTTGATGAGGGTTTAGGGTTTAGGGGTTTTAGGGTTTAGGGTTTTTGGGTTTAGGGTTTTAGAGTTTAGAGGTTTAGGGTTTAGGGGTTTAGAGTTTAAGGGTGTAGGGTTTGGGGGTTTAGGGTTTGGGGTCTGGGGGTTTAGAGTTTAGGGTTTGGGGGTTTAGCGGTTTAGGGTTTAGGGTCTAGGGTTTGGGGGTTCAGGGTTTAGGGTGGGGGGGTTTAGGGTTTAGGGGTTTAGGGTTTAGGGGTTCAGGGGTTCAGGGTTTAGGGTTTGGGGGAGTGCCTTGATGAGGGTTTGGCTTCGCTAAGGGTTTAGGCCTGTTTCGGTACTAGGGATTGAACCAGCTTAGATGAGCTTATGATTCTTGCTTGTAGGCTTTTTGCAGGGTATGAAGACCTCAAGACTCCGTCTCAGGTACCAGCACATGGGCAGTTCTCTAAAGTAGGGTCCCTTTTTAGGTCCCCAGATACTACGGCACCCTTGTAAAAAGATCCTAAAGTCTTAAAAGCAGTTCAATTTAGAGTACTACCCTCAAAGCATTGAATGTCTTATCCGGTCCGGTTTTTCGGATGCCTAAACACTCACTAGGTAGGGCTTTGGGGCATTTTATATCCTTACTGGGCTTAAGAGGATCTTATCTACTAATATTTTTCAAAGGCCTTAGAAGCCCCACCTAGCCCACTTCTGAACCCAGAGCCCCAGGTGGTCTGGGGGCAGCGGAAGTTTCTGTCGGTGTCGTGACAATCTGTATCTCCGATCACACCAGTACTTGGTACTATTGTAAGTTTCGCTATTATAGGTACTATAAGTTTCCCTGTTCTACTTATGGTATACTACACCCTATAGTCACCCTAGAACCTTATCCAAAGTACCGAAGGCCTTCGCATGACACAGCTTTACAATCTGTATCTCTGGCACTCCTCAGAAGCTCCTGGTGGGCACGCTTCCCCACTAGGCCTGGTATGGTTGAAGACCCGCAGAAGCAACACCGCCGTCAAGATCTCAATCACTTCCCGAAGCCCTAAACCCTAAACTCCCCAGAAGCCCTTCAATAGGTCGAGCAAGGAGGCCAGAGCCAATATCCCTACAGTCCGGGTCGCTTCTTGAGGATCCCTGCTTTCTTATTGAAGAAAGTCTTTGAATTAACGGGGTATTGGAGTCCCTAAACCCTAAACCCCAAACCCTGAACTCTAAACCCTAAACCCTGAACCCTAAACCCATAACCGAAAACCCTAAACCCTCAAGCCTCAACCCTAAACTAAACCCCAAACTCTACATCCTGAAAGGTCCCCTCAAAGGAGCCCTTACGATTTATGGAGAGAGGTGCAGCCATCAGAGCGAGTGGGTGAAGACCGCCGAGACACGCGTGAAGGAGCTGCGGGTGCGGGCCTGAGTCTGGGTGTATGTAACTGGGCTTTGGAGTGCCATACTTTAATACATTTTTCTTAAAGGGAATCATTGTGAAACAAAAGTCTATACTTTTTTCTCCCTGGTTACTGAAAAGCCCAGGTAATACAAGGGCCTTACTAACTACCTATCCTATGTTGGGGTTCCTTATTATATTTGTCGTATAATGGGCCCCAAGACCTTATTCTAATAGTTACTAAGGCCGCAACAGTATTCATAAACGCCTTCAGTCCCACGGTATCGCCTTTATAGTCTGGCTTCTTGGGCTTCTGACTGGTTGGGAGACAGGTTAAAGACTCTTGTGTCGGGTGTGGGGCTTTGGGTCTTGGGGCAAGAGAGTTTGGATTTTGAGCGTCGGGCTCACGAGAACGTCACACTACCTCGACTCGCCTTAGCGCCCTGAAGCCTGAATCGCCCCCTAGGATGCCCAGTAGTACCCTTATTCCCTTTTTGTAGTCCTAGGTTCCTTATAAAGTTACCCAATACCAAAAAGGGAGGCCTTTTTATTCTTAGGTTACTGGGTATCCTAGTAGCATTACTCAACCCTGAAGCCTAAAGCCCTAAAGCGAGAAACCCCACGCCCGAATCTCGATTTACTGTGGCCGGAGTACCCATCGCGTGGTGCTGTACTATTCAGGGTATCTTGGGGGTTCTAGGGGCCCCTCATTTCGAGGTTCTTGCAGGAAGACCCAGAGACTCCAACATCCCTTAATTAAGGAATATTGCTTAAATCATACTAGGGATCCTATTATCATTTAAGGTACATTCCTGAGTGAGTCTCTGGAGACTTGATTGTTTGAAGCTTTTATCTGGACCCTGAACTAACTCTCGCAACAGCCCGAAGCCCTCAACCCAAAGGAGGCCTTATGGAACCCTTTGCAAACCCGAGTAAGAATTCTTCGAGCCCTTGTGGCGAACCTTG